TTTATATTTCATTATTTTTATAAAATAATAATAACAAAAAAAAAAGAAGAAAAAAGAAAGATCTGTATATGACAAAAGACAAAAACCAAGGCACTCTTTGTTTTTGTTGACAAAACTAAAAAAAAAAAGGCAAAGATATTCTATTTGCATATATAAATTTCAACAAGTTTTTGACATGTTTGACATTGTACAGAACAACACCATATAAATTTACAATTGCACTTTTCTTGAACATACTTTCGTATTGTATTATAACCTCGTCCACAACACATTGTTCCACAACCATCAGGACCATGACTTGTTCGATTACATTGACGACCTTTTGTACCAAGTGAACCAATCCGTCGATTATATTCACAAAAATTTGAATCTTCAAAGTAGATTAAATCATCTTTAGTTGGTCCAGCAAAACGACGATCACGTGAACGTAATTGTCCTAAACGACGTTGATATCGTACTTCAATAGCACTATCATATTTTTCTTTTAAAAATGCACCAATTTCACGAAATGTTGGTAATTGTTGATAACATGTTCGAAGACTAAAATATTCATTTTTTTCTTTTTTTATAACAAATAAACAAAAAAAATTCAATTTCTACCTGCAAGAACCACTAACACCATGACATTTACAAACAACACGTGTTAATCGATAAATAGCCTTAAAATAATTAAAGAATTAATTAAGAATTATTTTGATTTGTCTTTTTTTTATTTTCTATTTACTCTTCGTCCAACTTCATTATTATGTATATTCATTTGACGTCGTATTCTACTACGTCGTAGAGATTGTCGTTTTCGTTCTTGATATTTTGTTTGATTTGTATTAATAAATAAAATAGAAGGATCAATTATATCTGGATTAATTTCTTTTTCAGGTGTATCAACAAAATCTCGACCAAATCGATAACCATAATCAATATTATCACCACAACTATTTGCAGAAGTCAAAACTCTTTCTTTTTCGAAATATTCATTTCACTTACCCTCCCCATGTCCAATCACGTGGTAAATTTTTTGGTCTTGTTGTTCGACTACATGTACATGATTTTAATAAACCTTGTTTACAAGCTCGACTAACAGCATATGTAACACCTGCTGAGAGCATGGCATGAGCAAATGCTGTCTCTCGATTAGCTAAAGATTAAAATATATATAGTAATTAAATTTTATTTTTAAGTAACAAAAAAAAAAAACATCGACATGACTTACCATGATAAAGAACCGGTCCAAAAACAGTACCATCTTGTACTGTTGAACAATTCCAATGACGATCTTGAAATTGATATTGACATTCTTCAATACCTTTACTTGCACCTATAATCAAATAAATATTATTTAATTTTCTTCTAATAAATAAATAAATAAATAAATAAAAACAAAGAATTCTACCTTGAGTAACAACAGGCATATGATCAGCATGTAATAAACATATTTGTTTTTGACCAATAGTTAAACTTTTTAATGTTGATTGACAATATAATGATGGATCATCATCAATTTCATATTGATGATCAGTATTAATAAATGTATATGATGATAAAATATTACCATTTCGACGTTCAAGACCAATATTCCTACAAAAACAAAAATATATATATTTATCTTTATATTTTATCTATTGGTTTCTTTTTTTTGTTTTTCGTTTACCACCAAAGATCATGTTTAATCATCCCATTGATCAATTCACATGAATAAAACAATGAATACAAAAGAATTATTATCACCTTCATTTGTATAGCTAGTAAGTTATAATGACATATTATTCTACAAATAAAAACAAATGAAGATTAACATACGATATCAATGAGCTGTTCTTTCTAATCCAATATTCATCGATCATAGAAAGACAGGTGCCGATCGGCAACTGATTATTAAGCGACAAGAGATATCACAAACAATTGTGTATTTGGACAAGGTCAACACACTCGACACTAATCGTGTCGACATACAAACCGATCGGCGGGTACTTTTGATTTTTTTTTTGTTTTTTTTGTTCTCTTCGACTGAAACAAACCGTGTTATAATGGATTATGTAAGTTTTATATGTATATTGTTTTTATCGATATGATGATAGATTTATTCTTTTTATATATATCAAATAGTTATACATAGTCAATCAACAATAGACAAACAACTGTCAATCTAAAAACAGATCTTTTTTCTTGTTGTTTTCGAGTTTATTCTCATCATATATAAATAAATAATAATAAGACCCAAAAAAAAACTGTTAATAGCATGTCTACAATTGTCTATATTGTCAACAAAAAAAATAACACTTATTTGGAAGAATAAAAGGTGTTACGCTCATCAACTTATTCAAAATGTATTTATATATAACTCATATTCACATACGTGCCTTTTTCTTTTTCTTATTCTTGAATATGAAATGAAAACAAACATTCATTGTATGTATACTCAAACTCTAAAATAATTTTCATATTATACATACATATATATATATATTGAAAAGAATCGTTTGATCATTACGACATGGTATAACTTCAAGGAAAAAATAATAAATATCTAAGAGAAGTTTATTTGCTCATTTACATATCAATCGAAACAAAAAATAAATAAATTTAAAGTTTCATATATCATGTCAATTCAATAAATTAAAAATGACTTTCAAATTATCTTCATGATTATCATCTATTTAGTTCATTGGACACATGGATACACACACACATACTCTACGAATGTATAGAAGAGATTATTCTCACTTCTCAATTTAATATAATACCGCCAATTGTTGACTTGTTCATTCACAGTTTTGATTTAGATCAGAGAGAGAGAGAGAAAAAAAGAAAAGAAAAACGAAATATACAATTCACAGTTTTGTTTTTTTGTTTTATCAAAAAAACAAAATTCTATGATGATGATATTCTCCCATCGGCATACATATCTCACTAGTTATTATAAAAAAATAAAATACGGAATTCTACATTTACATATTGAATTTCGATATTCAATGACAATGGTGTATTAATCAAAAGTAAACATATATATATATATATATGGGTTAGAAATCTCTACTTTCGTGTTAATTTTAACATGAGCTTATATAGATACGTCTTCAAATTGTGTATATTTAGGGATATTATTTTATATTACTTGATAAAACCAAGATATAGGTTTTTATATTACATCATTTAATCCGACTTTTCTACTTTTTCGATGAATAAATATCAAAATTTAATCTTTTTTTTTTGCAATTGATTGAACAATTAACAAAAGATTAAAAATGATAATTAAATGAATAATAAAAAAAACTTACCAATAAGTTAATTTTAGTTCGATCGATAATGATTAGAAAAAAAAGAGGGTGTGCGCAAAAAAATCGATTATTTAGTACAAATATGAGTATTAGAATAACAGTCAGATCACCTCTGTGAATTATAATGGCGAAGGATGTTTGTTCAACTCTATATATGTATACGTGTAGATATATATATGTGTGCGTGTATGTTGATTTCCTTTTCTTTTCTCACTCTTCTCTTCGTTCTCTCGTTCTTTCTTGTTCTAATCTATTTTGTACATATGTGAGACGTAACCACATACTCGTGTGAGAGTAAAAAACTAATATCAATAATAATCATAATAAGACAAAGACTTTCTCTATCTTTCTGTCTCGCTCTCTCTCTCTGTTGAGACGGATTTATTGACATGTTCTTTTATTTCCGGTTTTGCTCATTTATTTTTTATAATAGGATAAAAATGATTCATAATGATGACAATTTGCAAAACCATAAACGTTGTTAATACGAGTTAGACCTTGATAAAAATGAGACAATCAATCGATGACATATGATATTTGGACGTGTATTATTCTTAATACTTACGTTATTCTATATAGGAATATTGATCAGAGAGGAAGACTTTCTTTTTTATCTATCTGATTTTGAAGAAGAAGAAGAAGAATAAGAATAAGAAGAAGAATTGTTCATTATTTTGTTCTATTATCTGAACTCGGATCATTTCGCTCCTCTCATCACTGTCTATCGATCTCAACTATTGCAAATCTTAATTGATGTGCATGGTCGACAATAATTATCTTTGCTTCTCTTCTTTTGTTTATTATTCTTTTCTGGTGATATTAGTAGAATATTAGTGAGTCTTATGTTACGGAAAAAAAAAAGAATGAAAGCAATGTGTTTGATAAAGAGATACTTCATCGAAGTCAGTTGTTCATTAGCATAGAACGATTGTTTTTCTAAAGGTCAATTATGATCTATCTCCTCCTTTTCTTTTTCTTTTCTTACTTCTTGTTAATAATGATAATGACCATTAGACAATGTATTTCGTAAAAAAAAAAATTCGTCAATAATTTTCTCTGGAACAAAATATTATCTACTCGTCTATCCATTAGTTAGTCTATGTCTGTCAGGTAAAAAACCAGTTACTATGAAAAGGTCGCAGACATAGTATTATGAATATCATCAACGACTGTATGCCTTATTGTTGATGATGATAATCGATGATGAAGTATGCACAATCAGACTAACGATCGATAAAGAAGTGATGGTTATTCTAATTCCTTTTGTTCTGTGATGTTCATTAGCACACTATATATATATATATATGTATCAAATCCATCTGATTCATTTAAACGAACATTATTTATATATATACACATACACATTGATAGTAAAAGTCTGCTGATATTTAGCTATCATCGTGTCTGCTTTAAATCCATCGATTATTACAATGACGAAACACTAGAAAAGCAATCAACAGAAAAATCTAATTCATTATTGCACAGAAAACAGATTGAAAACAAAACAAAAAAGAAAATGGCACATAGATGCAACAAATAATATGATTAAATAATAGATGACTAGAAATTAAAAAAAAAAAGAACTTCATTGAACAATTAATGACTAGTAAAACAAACATATTTACATAGAGAAGACTAAGAAAAGAAAAAACGAATTTTCTTTTTGTAATAAAACAAAGACAAAAACAAATGAATAACACCGGATATTTTATTTCTCGATTATATTTAAGCAAAATTGGATTCATCTTCGGACGGCGTTATTGGACGTCGTTCAACAATAGCACGAGTAGTTGATGTTGATACGGGTTCATTAAACCAAGTATGTTCATATTGTTGATTATCATTTTGATTAATTGATGATCGATAATTATCGAATCTAAATAAATAAATCTCGAAAAAACTTTTTTTTTTTGAAATTTTAAATTGATCACCTTTCATTTGGTTCACAAGGTCGAATATCAACATCTTGATTTGAACGTTTTCGTTGTAATAAATTATGAGATGTATCTGTTAATGAACCAGCTGTAGCCGCAGATACTGTTACAATATCATTTGATTGTAATGGTAAAATAACATCTTTATTTTTTTTATTACTAAGTTTTCTTTTAAGTTCAGTTTGTTGTTGATGATATGATGTTTCAATACATTTTAAATCAAAATCTTCATATTCTTTAAGTTCATCAGGTTTTTGTAAATTTTCTTTTAATTCATTATGTTTATGAGCAAAATCAATAATTTTAGAATTTTCATATAAATAATCTTTTTCAATTGATGGTTGTAAATTCATCATTATTGAATTAAGTGTATCAACATTATCTTCAACTAAAAAAATCGAAATAAATAAATAAATAAACAAAAATTATTTTTGCATATTTACTAAATAAATCTAAACTTGGCATTGTTGCTGCTACTGCTGCTACATCAATCAATTGAGAATTATCTTGTTGAGATTCAGTAGATGCTATTAAAAAAAGAAAAAGAATAAATTTACAAGAGAAACTAAAAAACAAAAATGGAAAACAAACTTGGTGTTTCATCTATTGGTTTTTGTTCAATTTTTGCTATTATTGATAATTCAATAGCTTGTTGTAAATCATTAAAATAATCAATTTTATCATTTGTACTTAAAATTGAATTATTATTATTATTATTATTAGTATTAGTATTATTATTTGTATTTGATCGATTAATATTTTGTTCATGTTCTCGTACAGCTTGTAAACGACTCATTTCAATAGCTCGAAGTAAATCCATAACATCATCTGATGGTACAACAACAACAACTGGTGGTAGATTATCATCAGTATTATGTTGATAATATACGGAATCATTTGTTGATACACTAGCTGTTGTAGAAGGAGTATTCGTAGCTGGTGAACCATTTAATGCTACTAAACTTTGTTCCATTTCTCGTTCTTCTAAAACAAAAGAAACGTCTCTATAGAAAATAAAAACTATGCGTTGAATATTTATATGTTAACGTTCAATATCAAATTGAGAAGGAGAGAAACTGATGGTAAAAATTGAACTTGTATGTAAATCGAGTTTTAACATTCGTTTTTTTTCTTCAATTCACAATTGAATATAATCTCAATTTGAACTCTAATATAAATATATGTATACATACCGCCTTCTAATTGTTCAGTACGATCTAAACGTAAACATTTTAATGAACAATAATCAAAAGGAACTGTTGTTGTAGGATTTCGTGCACGACGATTATAACAATGACGACGTTTACAATAGGCACCTATAAAATAAAAAGAACAACATTAAATTTATTCATAAAAATCAATCTTTTTTTTTTCTTTGTCTCTTTACCATCATCACAAGCAACAAGACTTGAATCCATTTCCATTTCTAATTCTGGCCATTCATTAAGTAATGCAACAAGATTTGTATGTCGTCCTTTACGATCTACAACCCATGGATTCTAAAAAATCAAACGAAGAAAAAAAAACAAAAATCATTATATATATTTCATTAACATAAATTAAATTTTTTTTTGTTTTTTTTAATACTTTTGGATCTAAATCTTTCAATGAAGCTGCAATGGCTTTTTTTAATTCATTATCATCACCATCAACATCATCTTTAAGTAAATATTTCCAACGTTGTCTTGAAAATTTTTTTAAACTAGGTGGTGTATCTGGTGGTATAAGACCACGTGCAATTGTTTCAAGAAATTCTAAACGTTTACGTTTAACTGTTTTAGTTACTTGTACAATACGATGTTTAGGTGTACGTAAATAAGGTCGTGCTATAATTTGTGATAATGTTTCTGTACATTCTTCAAATTCTGTTTGAATAAATTCAAATATCATTTTTTTATGACCTGAATTTTCTAAATAATAACCATAAACATATGAACAACGTAAAACACGTCGTGCACGTAATAATTCTTTAATAGCATCTTCAATAAATTTTGTTTGTAATTCAAAATTATTTTCATCATTTATTGTAATTGAAGGTGAAGTTGTTGTTGTCGTTGTTGTTGTTGTTGTTGTTGTTGTTGTTGTTGTTGCTGTTGTTTGTGTTGGTTGACTTGATTTAGCAAGTATAATTTCACATTTTTCTTTTGCACTTTTTGATAATGGTTCTTCGAATTTATAAGAATTTTCATGATTTTTAAAACGTGTATAATAATGAACAAACTTTAAAAAAAAAAACATGTTAAAATATTATTTTCGAAAGTAAAAATATTTTTATTTTACTTTATTTAATTCAACCATACGTAAATGACGTTGTTCAGCAGCAGTTACTAATTCTTTTTCTTTAGCAACTATTTTATTTACAGTTTCATAACGATTACATTGAAAATAACCACCTGTTGTACTTGAATGTTTTTTCCATGCTTCCAAACATATCCAACAAAAATCATATTTACATTTAACACATTTTATATGATTACATCCTAGAAGAAGAAGAAGAAGAAGAAAAATCAAAATTGTTAACTTATCATTTTTATGAATATTAATCTACTTCATTAATAATAATCAAATAGATATTAATTCTTTTAATTTAATTCTTAGATTAACAATAAAAAATTTTCTACTTAATTTCTATAACTTCTTTTGACTCTTTTATGTTACAGATTTATTGTATTCGAAAATTAAATAATCATTTAAGATTGTTATAGTCAGAACAAGAAAAAAAAGTTAACCTTCATTCTTCTGTATAGATATTGAACAATTTGGACATTTTTTTGAATTAGTTACAAGCCATAAACAATTAGCAGCTATTTCTTCTTCTTCTGCTGTTCCTTTTACTAAAAAAAAAAAACAAAGGAGAATAAAAATTAAAAAGCAAAATACTATTTTTTTTGTTTTAGTTACATTCTTCTGGTTTGATTTCTGCAATTTTTTCGAACCAATCTTTCCAATTTTCACATGATGCTGGTTCATGTCCTTCTTGTAAACAATCCCAACTAAAATAATAACAAAAATTAAATTATACATTCAAATTTTTTATTTTTATTTTCCTACCAAAAATAATGTCCATTTCGACAATTAACTGATTTTGAAAATTCTCTCATATGTGATGATTGAAGACGATCAAATATTGGTGATTGTACAGCAAGTGTACAATTACTATGAGGACACCATTTAAAATTTGGATTTGAATCAACAAATGCTTTTATATCAAATTGTAAATAACGTCTTGCCATATTTTGATCAACACATTTTTCAATTATTTCATTTGGTACAAATTTAAAACAATCAACAGCTGGACAAAATATACTATGAACAGAACCTTCTTGAATTTTAAATGTTAAATATCTAGAGCAAAAAAAAAAATATTTTTTTGTTTTCGAAAAAAAATAATTAACTAACTGTTGCCAACAATCTTTACAAAATTGATGATCACATGATATAACAATTCTTTCAACACCACTTTCAAATTCTTTTAAACAAATTCCACACTAAATACAAAAAAGTGTATATTATTAAAATAAATTTATAATTTTAAATATATTACTTCTTTAGATAAATGAACTGTATCAAATTCATTTATATCTATAGTTGTTAAACCACGTTCATGAAGAAGACTTAATGGAGGATTAACACCAGATATTTCACAACAACGTATGGGATCATCAATCCATGATTGAAGCAATGATTCTTTTGACCATTCTAAATAAATTTATTTATTTATTTCAAACTTAAAAGAAATAAAAAAAAAACCAATATACCATAATGTCGAAGTAAAGCTTCAGCTGTAAATAAAGGTAATTGTAACATATCAGCAGTTTCAACGAGAAGTAAATCTTTAGCTTCTTGCAGATCTTGAATACGTAAACCACATGATGTCTGAATAAAAACAAAAAAAAAAATCACTTATTTTGGTTCGTAATATTCAAAATTTCGTATATTTGTCTTCATTTACACGATGAAAGTGATGTATACCTGGTCTAACATATTAATCTTACTTATATAAATAGATAACAGATAAAAAGAAAACATCAAACGAACTGTTCTCTCATCATTTATCAATCTAATGAATATTTTACAAGATTAAATATACTACTTTTTAGATTACTTCTCAATCTATACAGTAAATTAAGAAATTTGATTTCAAGAAAAAAAAGAAAAGAATATTTATCAACTTTAGTAAAGTTTAAGTGATGAAATAAATATTTGAAAATAAATTCAATCTACTTACATCATCAGCCATTAATGGTGATTCATCAATTTCTAATTCTTCTGAACCATTCTATAAATTAAAAATAAAAAAAAAACTTGAATATATGTGAACATTGATTAAAAATTTTCGACATACACTAAATATCATTCTTGACTCAAGATAAATAGCTAAATCTTTATGACCATTTTTTTCAGCTAAAGAAAAAAAAAAAAGAAAATGACATTGAAACATATTATTTTAATTAAATAAAATCTTACCAAGTTCACATGGAGTTAATTTTTCACGATTTTCAACATAAAGTGCAGCACCAGCATTTAAAAGACTCTATAAAAATTAAATATTTTTAAATAAAAATTTCTTATTTATATTTTTTTAAAAAAAAATTTACTTCAACACATGATTTAAGTCCATTTTTAGCTGCATAATGTAAGGCTGTATTATCATCCTAAATAAATATAAAAATAAAAAGAATCAAATCTATAGAATATATTATTATTATTAATTACTGAATCTTTAGCATCAATATCAATAGTTTCATTTGTTTGTTTATCTTTCCATTTTAATAATAATGTAAGACATTCATTTCGACGAACTTCATTACCAGCTATTAATAAACAATGTAAAGATGTTTGATTTAAACGATTACGTTTATTTGCATTGCCATTATGATCATGAAGTAAATGCCTATCAAATGAAAATTTATTTTTTAATTAATTTTTTTTTTTTGTTTTGTTTCTTTTATATTATAAAAAAACAATGAATTCTATTCTATCTTATATATTGAATAATTAATAATTTTTTATTAGAAAATTTCAATGATCTATTTCATATAGATTAAATCACAAAAATGGGTCATCCTTCACCTGAAACAAAAATTTCTGATTTCAAGTATGATTTAAGTACATTGTTTTGTTATGTCTTTTCAAATGATATAGTTTGACCTTGGATCATTTTTCATAAATATTATTTTGTCGATTAAAATTGAATAGAAATCGATAGAAATCTCATCAAATATTTCTTTCTAATCGTCTCTTCAATATTATACGACTACATATATATATAAATGTTTTGTTTTATTTTAATGAGAAGCTTAGTCGTTAGAACATTTAATAGATACACCTTATATTCCAAAATAAAAAAAAAAGTCTAATTCTTGAATTGAAGAAATGTTATGTAAAATGTTCGTTGTTGTTTTATTTTTATTTCAATTGATCATTGAAATATTAAGTCAAGGTATATTTTCTCCTCCAACATTTACACAAGATAGTTGTTCTGGTAATAATGACTGGACAATGTGGTTCGATTCAGGTGATCCAAGTTTAACAGTTGGTGAATTTGAAGTAACTAATCATATTCAACAAATATTTCCTTCATATTTGTGTCCAATACCGATTGCTATTGAAGTAATTATATTCGATTTTTATCATCAATAATTCAAAAAAAAAAAAAAAAAAAAATTTATATTTCAGGCTCGTACAATAAAAGATGAAAATCCCGGACGAACTGGTGATATATTTCGATTAACTCCAAAAGATGGATTTTTATGTTTAAATCAACAAGTTCATGGTTTTAAACAAAAATTATGTGCTGATTATAAAGTACGTTATTGTTGTTCATCAATAACAATTGGACAAACAACAACAACAACAACATTTCGTACACCAGTTATATCTGGTAATACTTGTGGTCATCAAGTTATATCACCATCAAATTTACGTATTGTTGGTGGTGTTGAAGCTATTCCAAATTCATGGCCATGGCTTGTTTCTTTAAGAGTACGTGATCATTTTTGTGGTGGTACTTTAATTGATACACGTCATGTTCTTACAGCTGCACATTGTTTAACTAGTGCACGGCCTAATACCGTTCGTGTAATTGCTGGTTTACATCAACGATTAAATATAAATACAGGACGTACACAAATTATGGGTGTATCAAGTATATATTTACATGAACAATATAATTCAAGAACATTAGCTAATGATATTGCTATTATTCGTCTATCTCAACCAGTTCAATTAAATAATTATGTAAGTTTAATTTGTTTACCAGGACCTGATCCACAAGAATTATCAACAGTAACTGTAGCGGGATGGGGATCAATATATTATGGTAGTCCATTACCAAATAATCTTCGACAAGTTACAATGAAAGTAACAAATGCACAAGCAAAAGCATCATATCCAGCTTATTTTAATGTTCAACGACAAATTGGTGCTAGTATGCCATATACTGGTGGTAAAGATAGTTGTCAAGGTGATAGTGGTGGTCCTTTAATGCATAATAGTAATGGAAAATGGTATCTATCAGGTGTTGTTAGTTTTGGTCATGAATGTGCACGTGGAAATTATCCAGGTGTTTATACACGTACAAGTGCTTATCTTAACTGGATTTATAATAAAATAAATGTGAAATAAATGAAAGAAAAAAAAATAAAGATAAAAAGAAAATAACAAAAATTTATGACAATTTTAATCTATTGTGATTGTTTTTCTCTTCTTTTTTTTGCAATTATTAGTAAATATCATATATAAACATGGGTTACTTTTAAATGTTTTTCTTTGAAAATAAAAGTCCATGAATATATTAACAAATATTCGATAAATATTTCTAATGTATGAAAATCATAGTTAAATGTTCATCATCCAACAGTATTTGGTTTGTTTCTTTTTTTTTTTATTATATTTATTATTTATAGGGTGAATATTTCACATGTATCAAAGAATTTTTGCTCGTCAATCTTTTATATGTTCAAAATCAAAAGGATTAGAAGTGAAAACAATTGATAATCGTAAATCATCATCAAATACAGGCGGTACATTTCATTTTACATTTACGGAAGGTTTTCTTTGTATCTTAATCAAATAATTATTCCAAAAAAAGAAAAATTCTACTGATTATAAACTTAAATTTTATTGTCTAGCACAATTTAAAAAAAAATAATATTTTCTTTTTTTAGTCGTTGATTTAATCCCATAATGGCCATATTTAATATATTAATATTATGATATTAGATATAAGAACGAATGTAAAAATAAAAATAAAAAGACAAGATAGAGACACATCAAGTTGCATATAACAGAGAAGATATATAGAATTATCTTGTATGAATGATATGTTGTTGATTGAAACATAGACACATATTCATCTGACATTATAAATGATAGCAAAAAGAAATGAATGACGTTCTTTTTAACTACTAATACTAACAAAATATTCATTTACCGATAGTAAAATATAGATTTTTTGTTTTTCAAGAAATTTTCAATCTTATCTAATATTATGAAACAAATTTTTACAAATAATATTACATCATTACCTTTAATTGTTAATAATAATGGTTCTTTTACATATCATTATGCAATATGGCCTTATATTTGTTTATTTACTTTAATTATTATAGTTTGGATTTTTATTTATCTTTTAAATTATTGTTTACGTCGACGTCATACAAGAAATGATCAACATAGATTGTTTTCTTTAAATACAACACAACGTAGTTATATTACTAATAGTATTCGTAATACATGTGCAACTTCAACAAAAATCTCACCACAGAATATATAATTGTGTCAATCATTTTACAGTGATTTTTGTGTTTGTGTGTGTGTCTCTTTTTTTGTAAGTATGAGGACAAGAAATAATATGTGACAGAAAATGACACGCATGTTAATTACTCTGTCAAAATAGAAACAACTAAATGTTTATTCCTTATTGTGTTTTCTTTTTTTTTTCTATAATAATTTTTGTATATCTTTTCTAGATTTTTCTTTTTCATAATGATAAAATAAAGAGCATAAATAACAAATAAATATAAATATACAGGATATTCGAAAAATTATTGGACATTTCTGTATACATACTACAAAACAAATGACTTTTTTTTTTTCTAAAAATTAATGATACTAACATGCTAATACTATGCATATATGCAACTATCGACACATAAATTAACTTTTTTTTTTTTTGTTGCTATTTAAAGCTGAAATTCAACAAAACTGGAAAATACTTGTCTTAGAATTATAGGAAATTTTTTTGTTTCTTTCAATTGTATATAATCGTCAATTTCTAGATTTTATTATAGTTTTAATTCACTAGAATTTAATTGATATTAGTATACTTAAAATTTTAAAATCTTAGGATAATTCTTTTTGCTGTTGTTGTTGTTGTCTTTTCCATGCTTTAGTCAAATATTTCCTAAAGATAAATCATTAATAATTCTTATTCATATTAAATGAAGGGGAAAATAAATGTTAGAATAACTATATTTTAATAGAAATCAAAATGAGATTGAAAACGACTTATATTGAAAATATTATTGAATCCTTGTATTTTTTTTAAGAACATTTTAAATTCTAAAATAAGGTTTCTATATGCAAACCAAAATTAATAAGTTTATTAAAATTAGTATACTGAGTTGAACTTGATACATAGAAAAACTAACATAAACTATGAGATTCGGAAAAATTCAATAATATATCATTAAATTTATGGATCCTAATAATAAGATAAAAATATCTTAGTATAGAGAACATTCATCTAAATGAAATAGATAGAAATTAAATTGAAATAAAGTATATCTAGCTATATCACAATTGATATCAGTTAAAAGGATCAATAAATTCAATGATATATTATTGAATTTTTACTGAATCTCATAGTTTATGTTAGTTTTTCTATCTGCTAAATCTAATTCACTGTTCTAATTTTAATAATCTTATTCGTATTGGTTTATACATAGAATGTAAAATTTTCTCAAATATTTCCAATAAATTACAAGAGATCAATAGAAGTCTTTTCTGATTTTCATTGAAATATAGTTATTCTAATATTTTTCTATTTTCTTTAATCTAAAATAACTTAGAGTTATTAATAATTTATCGTTTAGAGGCATTTGACTAGAAGATGGAAAGAGCAAAAAAAAACCATCTCCTAGCTATTGAGAAAATAAACAAAACAAAAAAAGGTACTTCACCTGAGAAATGTTTTCATAGCAAAATGACTTGCATAATGTACAAATGTATCACCATCTTCATTTAATACTAGATTAGGATCAATATGACGTCGAATATCGGAACGAGAACGATAAACTTGTAAAACTTGTATTTCATCACCACGTATCATAGATCGTTTTAATATTGATTTACTTGAACCCATATTTTGGAAAAAAAAACAAGAAATTCAATCTGATCACTTGGAAGTACAATAATAAATAATGAATTATTCCAATAATATAAGATAGGAAACAGAAACTGAAAAGAAAATAAGATGACAAACAGAGAATCACGACGTTAGCTAAGGATTGGCTAATTCCTTCTCTAGATTTCATAGAAGAGGTCGCTGTAAGATACTTTAGATCAAGATATTTAATAATTCATTCGTTAGAATTCCTATCATTAATTGTTTATTGTTTTATTTTCCAGAACAAATGTCAACAACATCATCTCTTTTGCTTCTTGATGATGAACGAAAAGCTCAATTGGATTTATTAAATAAAATCGATGAATCTGGTAAATTTCTCTTTATAATAATTCAATTTTTACTATTTCAACAAAATTTTTGAATTAAACGAATCTATTATGGAAATAATAAAGCTTTAGAATATAATCATTCAATTAACTTCAATACGATTGATTCAGTAGGATTTTTCTGAAAGGAAAAAAAAAATATATATATATATGAACTTCTAAAATAATCAAATGCTTAAAATAAAATGTTTACATATTATTTTAGCTGCTGTTGATATCTGTAATGCGGCATTGGGTTATTTATCAACAGGACTCAATACAAAATCAGTCACTAATGCAGCAAGTTAGCTTTCTTTTTTTTATGATAAATTTATAAATTGAAAAAAATAATTTCTCTTCAAATTTTCTTAGATCATCTTCAATTAGACGTTGAAATTGTTCGAACAACAATCGATAGTCTTTTATGGTTATATACTGAATGTGCTAAAGCAAAAGTAAATATTTTAATATTTTATTCTTTTTTTTTTTATTATTTTCTTATTTAGATTTCATCTGATGCTCTTGATGAATCATTAAAATTACTTGGTTATAGTACACAACTTCGACAAAGTTTTATTGAATGCTATCAATCAAAAGCTCATCAATTACAAACAACACTTACTACTGATCTTGCTCTTTCATTACCACATTATAAAAATTTATATTGGCGTTTTGATGTACAAGTATGTTTCTTGTTAGTAAATTTATTTTTATAAAAAAAAAAAGAAAAATCTTTATAGATTGCTACAAGAAGTATGCGTAGTCGAAAACAATTTGATCCTTTTTTTATTCTTAAATTAACATTAATTAATGGTAATAATGATAAAGAACAAGTTCATGTATTTCAAGTTGATCCATTAACACTTGTACACATTGTCGAACAACTTGAATTAGCTATGAATGAATTAAGAAATAATCATGCTCGAAGAATTGTGCATACATTTCGATGAAAATTAATTTATATCCATATATGTCTGTGATGATCATACTAGTGCAATAAACTTTTTATTATTCTTATTAATTTTTTCTTTCAAATGTAATCTTTATGCTTTATTTGTAACATCAGTAATTTATAGACAGAAAATAAATGTAGACGATCATATAAAACTTTATATATAATGATAAAGATATTCATATTAAATTAAATATCATTGTCTATACACAAAATTAAGCTTTGCTTGACTCATTTTTCGAACTAATTAATAAGAAAATTGCAATGATGAGCACGAGAATGTTCAATACCGATAAGTTAATCTTGTGAAAAAAAAAATGAAGAAGACAGTAATGACGTCTATTGAAAGATCAATGAAAGTACATCGGTGAGTGTATGAGTATGGATGTTAGTCTTATCCTTTACTTTCTAGTTTTTTGTGTACTTAACTTTCCTCATATTTATTGTTTCTCTACTTAAGTATATATAGTTAAATCTTCGTGTTTATTATTCATTAATCAAATAAATATTAATGAAAATATTTTTCATAAATATTTATGCATAGATTTACAACAGTTTGATATCTTCTATTTTAATCATTTCATAGACAACATGACTTTTCATTTGGCACTTCATTTCATCTAATAATTCTTGTCATTTTCTGCTTGAAAAATATATTGTTTTTTTTTTTGGAGATAAAGTGAAAAATCTTTTTCATTTTTTTCTCAGTTTATGTATTTTTGATCGCGTATCACAGAAAGACCCCCGTTTTTTGAATTAAGCTTTGTTAGTATTATATAAAAGAGTACTCTAATATAATTAGAGCGTTTCTTTTTTTGGGACGTTCAACTTTTCATTTCTGTACCTCTCCTTAAAGAAATAAGAATTTACAAAAAAGGGCTCTACCATGCTTTGCATTCTGGCACGCTCTTTCAAACAAACAAAAAAATTAAGTCTATAGAATGAAGACTCACAAGGAATTTTGAATTGTTAAATGAGCTAGTTTTGATCCTTGCTCGCTAAATATCTCTCAAAAACATCATGATATAAAGCTGAAAATTTTATCATAGCCTCTCCACTGCAGTCCTAACCTATCCTGAAAATTTCATGCGATTTGAATGCACTTGGGTTAAGATCAATTTTTGATGGAGGTCTTAATAAAAAATAGTTTAGATTTTATTTGCATTCAATATTAAATATTATATAAATATCTAAAATCTGAAATAATAGATATATTATATAATGTGTTCACTATTTAGTAGAGTTACAGAACAATATATTGGGAATGATGTAACAAAAGAAAACTCTCTTTTAATATTTGATTTTAAAAAGATTGCGATGGTTATTTTGTTGTTCAATGTTAGTTTTGAAGTATAGTTTATCTTATTCATTTAATTTTATATCATCATTCAAAGTTAAATCTGCATAATCGTTTATTGTCTGGATAACAACTCTATATTAATGTCCAATAGTAGAAGTTTATCATTCAAGATTTCATTGAATTTTACGAACATCAAAGATTATGGATATAATTGGACTCAATTGAAAATTAAAGAGAAATCATTAACTAAAACCACATTTGAGAAGAGATTACAGATAGAACTTTCTCAGATTTATCTCTATTTAAAAATCACAATTTTATCTCTGACAACAAACCGGTTTCTTTTTTTGAATAAATTTACTCGACTATCTGTAGATGCATTTAATAAATAAAATTCATGAGTTATACAAATCTATATTTCATTTTTTTTTTATTCTTTTATATAAAAATAAATGAACATACTGTAAGAAATATAACAAAAATACATAACTATATTAATTTTAAATAGATTAACAAACAATATGAACTTGTTATTTCAATTTCAGCAATACTTTTCCTTATCTTCTTGAGTTCATATCTTTTATATTATTCATGTATATTGATTGCACGGTAAAAATCATGCACCAAGCTTTGACTAAGTCTTTTCTGATATAAATAATATAACGACTATCCAAAAAAAAAACATGAAACTTTATCTTTTATGGATTTATCTTGTTTCACACGGCACAATTTCTTTTCAAAAAGAAAAAAAAAAGAAGAAGAAAAGTATTCATTTTCAAATAAAAATCTTTTATTTATCTAATATGCTCAAACATCTTCATTCAAACAAAGATAATCTCAATCATATATATATATAATAAATGTGTCTATTAAATATTCGAACTAGTTCTCAAATTTTTGTTTTTTTCATCAATAGAAAATTTAATATTTTTATTGGTTATACACGAGATTCATCAATTTTTTATTCTATATATTGTCTTTTTGAGAGCAAACTCAATTCATTTCATTCATAAATCAAAATGAATACCAACAATACATTATCTCAAACAATAAATTTAAGTATTCGTCCATTTTTTATTTTATTGGATATGTTTTTAATTAGTTCCATATTTCTTGGTTGTATTTTTTGTGTATCATTTATATGTATATCAGCTGTCTATCGTTCTTGTCGATCAGTTTTAACATTACTTTCAGCTAATTCATGTTTAGCTGGTCTTATTTTTAATTGTGTACAATTAAGTAATGCTTTATTATTATTTCGTGATGATATTTTTTTATCAACATCAAATCAAAATCAATATTGTGAAGTTCGTAATTATCTTATGCATGTATCTGGTAGTCTTCTTTATTATTCATATTGTATTCAATCAATATCACGTTTATTTTTTGTTGTCTTTTACAAACATACAGTTCTTTTAACTTATCATATACATTTTATTCTTATTGGAATACAATGGACACTTGGTTTTTTTTTACCAATATCAATACTTACATCTGGTCATAGACAATATCAAACAGAGACAAGTGAATGTTTTATAACAATTAAAAATGTTTCACAAACATTATTTGGTATGAAAAATAGAAAGAATTTTTTTTATTTTTTATTTTTAATTTCATTTGATTTTAGGTATGATTTCAATGTTTGTTTTACCAATGACAATTATTTCAATATGTTATACACATATTGTTTGTTTTGTACGAGCTGCTGTACGACGTGCTAGAAAAACGAATGCAATGCCTATTCGAAAATTTAATCTTATACGTGATCAAGGTTAATATCTCTTCGTTTTTGTTTTTGTTTCTTTTTCAATTAAATAATATCATAAATTATTTTTCTAATTAGGTGCAATACATATTAAACATCGATTTTCAAGTACAAGAGATATTAAAGTATTTCGACATATAATTGTATTAATTACTGTATTATGTATTGGTAAGAAAAATATTTATATTAAAAAATTGAATCAATAAAATGACTTTTTATTTCTATAGGTGGATTTCCTTATTCAATGTTAATGGTATTAAATACACAAAGTATTGCTCCATTTTCTATTTATCGTCTATGTATAACAGTATTTGCATTAAGTGTAACAGTTGATATGGGTGCAATATTTTTTTTTAACAAAAATGTTCGTACAATATTTTTTAACTGTTTTCAAAGACGATCAAACCGAATTGGTTCAATTAATCGTGGTTAAAAGAGCACAAAACCATATATATATATACAAGCAAAAAAAAACAAAAAAATTCTTCATGAAATCCATTGACAAATTTTTTCCCAACTTTCTTTATCATGCATATAACCACCATGAGAAAGATTTGGTGCCCAATAATAATCAATATCATTATCAATTAAATAATCTTTTATTAAATGTACATTAACAATACAATCATGTCCAGATAAAAGAACATGTGTAGGTAAAATTTTATTTGTATGTGAAGGTATTTGTTCAATAAATAAATTATTTTGTGTCCACCAAAAATGACGACTTATTACATAAGATATACCTAATTCACGACAAACAAAATAATATAAATAGAGATGACCTAATCTATATGGAACACGATAAACAAAATTATAAACAACATAAGGTTCAAATAATGCAAAACATATTGGATCTAGAAAAATTAAACGTGATATATATTGTGGACATTTTTGAACGATCCATGATAGACATGCAGTTCCATAACTAAAAAAATAAAATAAATACATTTTTAATTAAAGAAATCATAGATAAATTAACCTATGTCCAATAAAAATAGCTTTCTTTAATTGATAATAGTCAAATATAAGTTGAATTGAATCTGTAGTTTCAGACATATTTGGAATATCCTTAAGAGATGGATAACGCATACATATACATCGCATTGATATAAATATAATACGACGTCGTCGAGAAAATTCTTTATGAATACGTGCAATAAAAGGTTGATACATCATAAGACCAGAACCAATACCATGAAAAAAAATTATTGGATCTTCCTCTTCTTCTATATTGCATGTGTCATCATGATAAGTCCAAAATGAGAGATGACCTATATGTATAAATCGATATCCTCTTAAATAAAAAATACTTGAAGAAAGAATTCCATCTAATAATGTATCTGTAACAAAATACACAACAAATGGACGAAAAATAACACGAACAGGATCAAGAATATGTTTCATATGTGGTATTGTATTAGCTACTTTATCATCAGCTATTCTTAATTGATGATCAATTTCAATATTTTGACTAAGTAAATAAATTTCTTCATATTCTTCATCGTTTAATTCTTGTATTTCTTTTGAATAAAAAGCATATGCTAACCAACCAATTAAACTTTGACGATCAATATCATGAGAAGGACGATCCATAAACCATTTACTTAATGTATGTGAAAGGTTTTTTATATTCAAAAGTGCATTTGAAATAAATCGATTACGTTCAATAGATGTTAAATGAGGTGCAGGAATTTGATGTTGAATTTTTGAATATAAATATGATTGATAAATAAGAAAAATAATTTCTGTAGTTGACCATATTGTTAAAAATATACTTAAATATGGCGATGATATTGGTATAATAGAAATATTCAAAAACAATATTTGTATTAACCAAATAATTGATAATGGAATAACTGATGATATGAAAATAATTAATAGAAAAGAACATAAAGCAAGAAAATGACTTGATTGATAAATTTCTGATAAACCATTAATTAATGATCGATCAACAAAATGAATATCTCGAGCCATTATTATTAAATTATTTGTTTTATCTGAAAAAAAAAGGAATTTATAACACTAACTATATATTACGTCACATATATATGTATAAATTGCAGTTCAATTTAATATATACTATGCATTATACACGTGCTCTGCATCTAATTCTTCATTGGATGTATCTATTATAGAAGTATACATTTTATTAGTCATCATTTAAGGTAAACAGTAGTGACAGCAACGAAAGAAAAAACAACATACAAATACTCAAAAGAAAAAATATTTTATTACAATAATTTTTTCAAATGAATAGAATAATAAACATTTATCACGATGTAAAACAGCTTATATACACGGTTGGAAAAAATATTATTCCAGGGGGGTAACGCTATAATTTCAAATAGAAGACATAATGAATTTTATATCAAATGAAAGCTCGTCAAAAATGGGGTTTATTGATACTAAATAGTGAGGCTTGTAAAAACTTTCTAATGTCAAACTTAAGAAGTTTTCAGAAATTTTATATTTTTTTGGGATGGAAAATCAAGGTGCCACTGATTTAAAAATGAAGTCAATTTTTTTTCTTGAATATTTTTACATGATTTGATAGACCTCGTTGAGCTCTACAAAACTGTGCATGTTAAAAATTTTTTGAGGCATCTTTTTGAGATAAAAAGTTCAAAAAACTACTCGGGAAACCTCAAAAACATTTAAAAACTCTTTTTTTTTTCAAATTGAAGAAACACGCTCAATTTTTCAATAAAAGTAGCTTTTTTCGTTGTTTTTACTACCTCAGACGTCTCGAAATATACTCGTTCGATGCAGTGTGAAAAGCTGCGTCTAATGAGTATGTTTCGAAACGCCTGACGGAGTAAAAACAACGAAAAAAGCTACTTTTATTGAAAAAGTAAGTGTTGTTCTTCCACATGAAAAATATGAATTTTTTTCATGTTTTCTAAGATTTTCCAAATAGTTTTTTGAATTTTTTATCGCAAAAAAAGTGTCTTAAAATTTTTTTAATGTATACAGTTTTATAGAGCTCGACGAGCTCTATCGAACCGTGTAAAAATATTCAAGAAAAACATTTTACTCCATTCTTGAATCACTAGTACTTTAATTTTCCATCACAAAAAAAGTATAAAATTTCTGAAAATTTATTAAGCTCGACATTAAAAGGTTTTCATAACCCTCACTATTTAATACCAATAAACCCCATTTTTAACGAGCTTTCATTTGATATAAAATTTATTATATCTTCTATTTGAAATTATAGCGTTACCCCCCTGGAATAATATTTTTTCCAACCGTGTATATTGGTCATTTAATACTAATCAGTCGTAGGAGATCAATAGACTAGAATACTCTCCAAAAATTTTGTGCTGACGTTAAGATTTAATCGATATATTATGTTCTTAGTGGATTTTCCTTGTATCGACCCAATTCTTCAATAAAATTCTATTGTCGAGTTTTAATCTGAAAACTTTGCCTAGATGAAGATCTCAGTCAGACTAGTTTATGCACAAAGTTTCAGAAGTTTTTGATCGAGTGTCTCTAAGATATGCATTTTTTAGACTTCAGAAGCACTCGATTGGAAACTTCTGGAATTTTGTGCATAAGCTGACCTCATCGGAGCAAAGTTTTCAGATCAAAACTCAACGATATGATTTCATCGAAAGATTGGATTCAAGCGGAGAAAACTCACTAAGAAGCCAATATATGGGTCAAAACTTAATGTCAACACGAACCCATTGGGACTTGTTCTAATCTATAGGTTTCCTAGCATTGGGCAAAATATGGGCTCAAAAGCATTTAATCATCTCAGAACCTTCCCTCGTTAGTCATTTTGTAATCCAATAATATCTACATTAAGAGATGCTCATTTGATGGTAGATCCTCATTATTATAATTATTCATCTTATTATGTAATGATATTGGATTATGTTTTTGAGTGCATTTTGTAAATCAATTGATTGTAAACATGTATTCATATCTGATGTTATTGATTGTCGATGATTAAGCATCCATTGTTTAAATGTAAGAAAATAAGTAAATGTAAATAAAATTTCAAAAATTGTCTTCTTCTAATTCATTTTATCTAAATTTTAATCGGTTCATAAATAGATCAAGATTAAATATAAATTACTAATACCGATATAAATTAATTTATTTTCATCGAATTCAGAATCAAATTCATAAGAATATTTTCTTCAAAAAATACTTGGTGAATGAGCCTTACTCCCATATCACTTTTTGGCCACGGACATAGAGAAAAAATGGCCACACACTTGTACGATTGTTGCTAAGCGCGGCTCTCTCTTTTTAATGTTTCTTCCTTTATATCTCCTCTATCTTCTCGATCGTATATACGATCCAGAAGATAGAGGAGATATAAAGGAAGAAACATTAAAGAGAGAAGGCCGCGCTTAGCAACAATCGTACAAGTGTGTGGCCATTTTTTCTCTATGTTCGTGGCCAAAAAGTGATATGGGAATAAGGCTCATTCAACAGAATTTTTCATTCATAATCATATCTTCAAAAAGACCAATCGTTCGATCAAATTTTTCTAATTCCGGATCATCATTTTTATGCGAAACGTTTCATCATTCCTTTCGCATATATTGATCTACAACACATATGCATTATTGTATCATAGAAAAACGTTCTACTGAAAAGAAGCACTCTATTCTTTTATTTTCTTGCTACTTTGATCGACAGCTACGTAGAATAGAATTGTTGTTATACTGTAATATAGAATCATACATATATTTTCTATCAGATGAACTTCCATAAAGGATTTGTTATATTTAGATAACAAATCATATATGTAATTATCTTTTATATGATATTCTAATTTCATGTATGATAGTAATCTTTAATGAGATACAAAAAAAAAAAAATACAATAAAATATTTATATGAGAAATTGTGATGAGAATAAAAAATGAAATTTTGTACTCATCCAAGTTAAAACATTCATATTTTATGTATATTCGTATAGACTATTGAGTGTTATAGAAAAGAAAAATAATCATTATCTTCAAACACATGATGTAATTTTAACAAAATTAATCTATTCGAATACAACAAAAAAAAAGCCGAGACCAAATTGATTATTCATTCATTTTTTTTTTTATTTATATGTATATATATATCAGACATACATAGCTATGATGATCACACAAGAATAATTTGACCTAATATCATCATACACACACACACAAAAAAAAAAATTTCATTTCTTTCCTATAGTCGATCGATACAATTTTTCTAAGTTAAAAAAAAAAGAAAACGAACGCGAGACACTCACAGAGTATAAGTTCTAAAGATAAAGTAAATCTTTATTCTTTTACTTTCACATAAACATAAATGATCAAATAATAGTACCAAAATGTACAAAATATCTGATCTTTTATTGTACACATACAAGAAACACAAAAAAAAAAAAGTCAACAGAAGAAAAATAATAATAAACAATAACATCGAAATATAATAATGAACAAAAAAAAAAAAAAAAAGCCATCGCAAAATACGATATCTGACTATATCAGTAATTTATTTGATTATCTAATTTCATTTATCTGACATTGAAAACAAAGCGAAAGAAAATATTTCATATTATATATATATATATATATTTATCTAATATAAAAAAGAAAAAGATTGATAACTATTTCTTGTTTGAATAATTATTCAATTCTTTTGTTTAATTTTGTATATATATTGAATTTATAAATGATTTTTATTTTAATAAATTTGATAATGCTATTTGAACATAAGCACTTTTACAACAACTATTTTGTGCTATTGAAAACATATTACTTTGAGAAAATTTTTTTTGTACACTTTTTAATTTTATTTTATCTTGTTCAATAAGTAATTGTCCTAATTGTTCAATACCTTGATAAAGTTGTTCATATATATAACCAGTATGATAAAACATAAATTTTTTTGGCCATAAATTTTCAATTAATAATGATATTGATGTTAATGATGTTATACGTTTATATGCAAGTAAATAACGTGAAAGAAATGATGCACATGCTGATATATACGATGGTAATATATGTGAAAATGAATGATCAATAAATGTTAAATCAAGAAGATATTTTCCTAATGTATGTTCTATATCAGTTGCTTGAATGATTTTTGAATAACGACGAAGATAATTTATTGATAATGGACGACCAAGATCAAATGATAATGTTGTTATCATACGTCGTTCCATTTCTTTCATATCTTCTTTTGAATAAGCATTATCAGATACATAAACAAAATCATTCATACCAGGTATTGCCATTTCTTCATATTTACATGCTAATAGTAAAGCTAAAACAATAAAAAAATGATAGTATTTAATCTTTTACTTTAATTTTTCACTGTGCCTGATAAAATTTTACAATTGACTACGTCATATAAAATAAACATCAAACGATTGCATGATAGAAAATAAAAGACAGGCAACACAATGAGATGAATAGAAATTTGAAAGCATGCGATTATATTCTTTGCCATCAATGCTATTAATTATTTAGCTAAGGTTTACTTCGATTAATAAACGCTGAAGTGCTTAGGTCTTTTACGAAAAAAAAAAAAAACTACGCACATCAATCAAAATCTGTTTAATTATTTTCTGTATTACTCAGCAATGTATGTAATAACTAATGAGGAAACTGCTTCAAGTAATTCAGAAATTTTGTGATGATGTTTTTCCTATAAATAACACCTAGTGAAACTAGACAAAGCTTAATAGGATAAGAATCTATCGGTCTTTCTTTGCGATTTATGACCATCTTACTAGATTTATCATTTATACCAAGAGGCTGATTGAAAGTTCAAAGTAGAGAATTTTGATCTGAGATTTTCTTCACACATTACCCTCATGATCCTTGTAGCGACCTAAATATCACAATCAAAACGATACTTCTTTTTCGAGATGGTAAGTTTTTAAGAAACACTCTCATAATACAATATGTTAAGAAAATTGACTTCTCATGAACACTTACTATTTCAAAAATGAATCATTCATTTTGATTGTGATATTTAGGTAGCTTAAGGATCATGAAGCCAACATGTGACGAAAATTTCAAATCGAAATTCTGTACTTTGAACTTTCAATCAGTCTTTTGGTATAAATGATAAATCTAATAAGATGATCATAAATCGACAAGAAAGACCCATGGATTAGTATCTTATTAGGCTTTTTTCTAGTGTCACTGGTAGAAAAAACATCAGCGCAGAAGCTCGAAAATACTTAGCGCCATTTCCTCATAAGCTTACTGATGAAATTTTTTTAAGGGGGCCACAAAAAAATGTCAATTTTGGTCAAATTTTTCGATTTTATGGTTTATAGCTCGTTAGATAGAGCTAAGTGTCTACTTTCGAATGCACTATACTTTATTGATTTAATGATGAGATTTAAAGATATTGCATAGGCTTTTTTGAACTTCCCATACGAGAAAATAAGGTTTTTTCTCAAAATAGGATTTTTGATTTTTATGTTTCTGTGCGTCCTAGATTTCTCCGCCATTTTAAACGCTAGAAAATTCGGGCTGGTTCTAAAATGTGGCGTTACAACTTAACAGAGTCGGATTTTTCGATTCCTTCATTAATGTTTATAAGAAACTAACTTTTCTGAACCTACCCACATCCGCGTTTTCAAATCTCATCAAAGAAATTTTCTAAAAGTACAAGCTAGGAGAGAATCGAAAAACCGGGCCCCGTTAAGTTGTAGCACCATATCTTAGCTACATTTTAGAACCAGCCCGAGTTTTCTAGCATTCGAAATAGTGGAAAAATTTGAGACGCATGGACACCTAAATTTTGACCCATAACCTTATGATAACTCTTCGTAGACTCAATGGATCGAACTGAAATTTTTATTGTGAGCTGCCTAGCTCGAGATACACTTCTACTGGAAATTTTACCATGACTAGATGTTCAAAAAAAAAATTTCATTTTGGAAGTGACCCTCTTAAGGATAATATCTACATTTCATATAACGAAGCAATACTCTCTATATCATATTCAAATATTTACATCTTGTTGGCAATAAATAAATATGACTCAGATGATTTGCTTTAGAAAATATCAAAATTCTTTATTTTAATCATACCGGTTGATCCAATAAGTTGTAATTCATGTTTCGATACATCAATTATTTGTAAATAACGATCAATAAGATGAATTGTCATATGAAATGTATCCGAAAGAAGTTTAAAACGATCATGCACTTGATAAAGCCAATCAATAAGTACAGCTCGATTTTGAGGTGAAGCTGTACCTAGAAAATAAAAATTTTAAATAATATTTAAATAGAATTTTCTATTCAAATTTAATCAAACCTTCAGAACGATGAAGTAAAAAATTCTGTCGAATAGGTGTATGTTGTTCAAGTTCTTTCCAATATTTACAAATATTAACAATTAATTCTGAAACAGTCGTTATATTATTTAAATCACCACTGTCACAATCAAATTCAGCTGGTATATCTGTTGACAATTGAAAATTATCATCGAAAATAATTTCTTCTATTTCATTAACAGCAATTTCTGTTGTTGGTGGTGGTAGTGCTGATGATAGTATATTATTATTTGATTGTGATTCAATAATTATTTCTACAGAATTTTTTTGTTGTTGTTGTTGTTGAATAGTTTTTGGTTTAGAAATTATTGGTTTATTCGATAATGTCATATTACCAACTTCACCAAGAATTCCACGCATTGTTCCTTTTTTATCATTTGTATTTATTGAAATTTGTTGTGTTTTTGATGTATGTTTAAATATAAGATTTTTTATTGTAGAATTTTCATCATTTAATGACGAAGAATTATTAGTTGAATTTGTAGTTTTCCCATGATATGGACGAAGAAAAGTTGAATAATGACTCATGATAATGATCGAGACAGATTAAATATATAATTAATAAATAAGTCTAGAAATTTGAAAAATTACATTAAATGAAATAAAGTATACATTCATACACACGCACACAAACACGATTTATTAACTAAACGGACGATTATGAATAGACTGATCGTGAGAAAAACGATAGTGACCGTGACAAATACTGAAGAAGAAGAAAGGATTCAAAAAGATATTTAATTATTGGTTAAGAGAAAATAAAGACAGTAGCGACAATTAATTTTCTCTTTGAACATAATCGACTATTGTTTATGAAAAAAAAAATTTAAAAAGAAAAAATTGATTAGAATTAAAACTATGAATATCATTCTTTAAAAATTATCTAACATAAATCTTGTAAGGAACAAAAAAACTTCGAATTCGGCATTTGTAATGTAAATATAGGATCTATTATTCATATTGAACGAGATGCTTTTGTTTCCTATTTCGATAGATATGAAAAAAAAAAACGACAACAAAACTTTTTTTAGTTTTATATCTTCTATGAATCATAAAATACGTTCTAAAAAGAAAAAAAAAAAGACTTCAACAAAGAATGTTTTTTTATTACTTAATAATTTATCTTTAAATATATATTTACTTATGACGTGTATGGTATGTTATCTAGTTAAATACATCAAAGATTTGTTTTTTTTTTGTTATACCTACGGCAACATATGGGTTGTACAAATTCAACTAGAAAACAAGAAACAGACGTTGGACGATATAAACATGATGAAAAAAAATTTCAAAATTTATTTCATGCAACAACTGAATTCGATATATCAACATCAGATTCTGAAAATGAACATGTAATTCTTTCAATGAAATCAATAAATAAGAATAATTATAATAATAAAGATAAATTAACAAAAAAAATTGATAAACTTTCAAGTGGACTGACAACAACAAATAATAATTCATCAACAGCGAGTAGTAGTACATTGATTGGCAATCGACTTACTAAAACATATGTTTGATATTTTATTATTCTTTTTAGTTCAATTGTATTCATTTGATTTACTAAGATTCGAGCAGAATATTTTAAAATTTTTCTTTCTGTGTTATGGATATCCTACGGTATATGTCTTTTTTTTTTTCGAAATAAAGATGTTGTTTATTATTCGTTGACTTCAGATGAAATCCTTGTTGAAAAGTTTCATTCGAGTCAATATTCTATTGATAATTATCACAAGGAAAACATGTATTATTGTATATCAATATGTCAAAAAGAAATTTCTACATATAATGATACATTTGCAGAAAGCACTTCTTATTCAAGACTTCGCTATATTGATGTCAGTATTATCTTAGCCTTCTATCATCACGCGTATCAACCAGAGCTACACATGAGATGAAACGAAAAATTTTTCAGAAATATCCTATGCAAGGCTTTCAAAAATATTCTATCCCATGGGACAAATGTCTTTTACAACAATCTTTTTTTGATAAAAACAACACAATTATCCCGAAATAGATGTCTTTCTCGTCGAAATGTGAATTTAGTTATGATAAAACTATGAAATATAAAATTTAGTAATAGTGGAAGCATTGAAAGTTTGGAGACAAAATGTGCCTTCATATTTTGATTGATTAAGAGTCCAGCGAAAATTTCAAAACCTTCGATTAGAATCAGAATTTTGTGCGCTTTCTGAATATAGATTCAGAATTTTTGTGAAACTTATAGGTTAGGAGAGTTGTGAGTTAATCTTTGCAAGGTCTTAAAATAAAATTTGGATAGAGAAAGTTGCACTAACCGATCTAAAGGCAAAGAATACGACCATACCCTGTTTGAAATTAGTTTTGTGATGGTTTTCAGTGATTTTTTTTAGCACTTTAGCATTTCTGTCGTAAAGACGCTCGTTTCACTTCCTTTTGTTTGACTGCATCAAATTTTGAAGGTTTTTTGGATCAACATTTACACAGTACATGTCTCCTATAATATACGTTTATTAACAATTTTTTTGCACAGCATGAGGGGTAACATTGTGCTAAGAACCGAGGGTCTTGTAAAAATTCTCTAGAAATGATCGAGTTCATTTTGTAACTCTGGAAATCAAGGACTTGCAAAAGTGTCACTGTGACTCTTGCCAAAGCTCTCGTTATTGATAGATGCCTAACGAACGGAAAATTAATGACCAGGATATTATTCTGTAGAGAAATGTTTACTTTTCTAGTTGATATTTTTGAAATAAATTTCAATTCTACCCTATTCAGCTTTGGCACACTAAAACTAGTTCAAACTTTATTTTCAGACCTTTCAAATACTAATCCATAACTGCTAACCTATGAGTCACACAAAAGTTCTGAAATTAGCGTTTGGAAAGAGCACATAATGCTGATGCTAAATCAAGATTTTAAAATTTCTGCTTTTTTCTCTTAATCGGTCGAAAAATGAAGGAACATTATATCTCAAAACTTTCGGTCTACCCATTATTAATAGAAATAATGGGTTCGGAAAATTTTTTTTAAATATATGACGAGTGCAAAATTCCATGGGATAGAATAGGATGGAACAGAAAATTTTGAAGATAGTCGCATCCCACATGGGATAATTTGCGATGAATCATCGCATGGGATGATTTTTTTCGTCCCACCCTATCTCACGTGGACTTCTGGCATCTATCATTGATGCTAATATAAATATCAACGATGAATTAAGGACAATCGTTTTTTTTTGTTTATAGATAGTGCACTTGAATAAAGAAGATGGTTAGTAAGGTTATATTAATGACATTTATTTGTTTCACTATTAATTCAATCGTAATTGGTCATTTTATTCAACAAAATGATATCGATGATATCTTCGTGTCTGGAATCAAATTTGATTTAAATGATCCAAAACTTAATGATAATGTAACATATTATTCGTATCATATTCATGTATATTTTTTACGAACAAGTTTTAAAGAAAGAAATGAAGCTATTCAATTACGAAATCGATTTCTTAATAAATTTAATGTTAGCAGTTGTAATGATCATTGTGAAACATGGTGTCCTCGAATTTGTCATTGGACTTTAAATATGTCACCTGTCGGGTACGATAGGAATGTTTTATTTTCATGATAATTATGTGTATAATATATTTATACAAATTTCATATAGAAGTTTCATGTATAGACAAAGTTGTAACTTTGCTGTTAATACATATATATATATTAGTTTTTACCAAAAAAAAATATTTAAACAATCATTCAGAAAAGTCAAAATTAAATTTTGTTAGTAATACTTTACGTAATCATAGGTTTATTCAAGTGATACTAAGTTCTATGGATAATGAAATTGATCTTGAGAACATCGTGACTCCATTGAAATAACGTTTGAACTTTCTATTATTTCGGAAAATCATTCATACATGAACAAGTTAAATGTCTATCAGATTCAACCTCATATTGAATCAAACAAAGACTTTATCTGACTACATTTTTAAATACTTATCGTTAAGGAGCTGAGAGCTCAGGCTCAGCAGTATAACATTTCTCGGATCGGGATTCATAAAAATGCTGGCCTACAGGTCTCTACTTACCATGTTGCAGTATTATTTATGTATTAGTTCGACATAAATGTTAGTAGTAAAACTAATTTTAAAAATGAATACATCAAACAAATACCATAAGATAAGTATTAAATAAAAAAGTCGAAGCGACTTATGACTTCAGTTTTCATAAAAAATGATTTGTATATATATATACATATATTTAAAATGAAAAATTAATTCTATAAATGTTTTTCTATTTAAATATCATCAATAATTTTGATAATTATTCAGTATTTAATTGATCTGAAATAACTTCGATATAGTATATCGATATTTGATTTAGACCACATCCTATTGGTTCATGGGGTGTCTATATACCACTTGAGCAATTCACTCAAACGATTTCATTTATATCAATGTATCATGGTTCTCTAACTGTTTTGATACATCCAAATTCAGGTCGTCCAAAAATTGATCATCTTATCAATGGTCTTTGGATCAAATCTATCTTACCACTTAATCGTAATTATATTTTAAAAAAAAATATTTCTTTTTCTTTTTTTTCTCTTTCATTTTCGTATTCTTTTAGAGAAACAATTGAGCGACAATGCACCACTACCATCTCATCGAATAATAAATTAATTATACTTTCGATGTTTTTTTTTGTCTTCTCTTTTGAATTAAAATAAAAAGAAATTTCTTATAGAGAATTGAATTTCATATTTCGAATTTTAAGAATAAGCAAAATAAAACTAGATATGGTGAATTAGAAACTTGTGTGTGTGTGTTTTTTGATATAAAATAAGATTCTATATGTTATTTAGAATGCAACATTAAGTGAACAAGATCTTTATGGTAGTTAAATTATTTTTCATTAATTAAAAATTAAAATATTTATATTTCTTATAAAAGAACTTCGTCGAGCATTTTCATCTGTTGATGATAATAATGATGGATTAGTACGTATTAAAGATCTTCCAGCTATTTTTAAACAATTTGAAGGAAATCTTCAATCATTTATTATCGAAGAAGATGAATTAAAACATTTACTTGATCAAAATAATATTAGTGGTTAGTTTTCATCGATTAGTTTTTTTTTGCTTATTTTAATTAAATTCGAAATAATAGATTCTGATCAAATAACATTTACTCAATTTTTAACTTTAATTGCATGTAAAGCAAATGTAGATGATAATATTGAAGAATTACAAGAAGCATTTAATATTTTTGATTCTACAAATACTGGCTTTATCACGTAAATATTTTTTTTTGTTTTTATAAAATAGAAAAAAATTTTTTTTTTCTTTCTTATCTTTTTTATAATCTTTCTAGTGTAAAAGATCTTTTACGTGTCATGCAAAATATTGGTGAAAATATATCAGAAATTGAAGCTCAAGAAATGATTCATCATGCTAATCGAGATTTAAGTGGAAAAATAAGTTTTGCTGAATTCATTGAAATGATTCGATATTCATAAACTATATAATATCAAACTCAATGACAAAAGAATTTATTATTATAATTAATAGAAAAAAAAATATATGCATATATAAATATATAGAGATATTATTCTTCTTACAAATAAAAAAAAAAAAAAAAACAACGACACTCAACATTTCAAATGAAGATAATATTAACTTTATGATTAGTCAAAGAAAGAAAGAAACACAAAATCAAAAGACAAATAACTCGATTATAATTTTTTCTTTATTACGACATAACA